TTCACATGAAAACATGAAAATTGCTCGATAAGCCGAACATGGCCGTGGCGAGCGCACCGTGCGCCGCCGACGGCGTTGGGCCGTCTCTCGACCAACTTAACTTTTCTCTCGACAATTCAGCCATAACTGATCATGAACATAACTTACTGAACAAAATAACACAAAGTGCTCGAAGGACTTGAACTTGACATAACAAACACATGTGTATGGCCCGTGGTGCGCTATTTGTGCGACCACACCCCATGGCCTAACTATCGAGCCAAAACATGAACATTTCTCGAACAAAACCCTTAGACTGAACATGATATCACATAAAATTACTAAACATGCGAGGGTTGTTCGGAGGATTCAGATTAAAATATAACATGACTCGACACGGTTACTCGCACAACCTTAACGACAATCGACACGCATACGAACTTGAACTGAAAAATGGACTTAAAGAACATGATAATCTCAGCCTGCAACCACACGGAAATTACCTCCGATTATGCTCGACTGACAGCAATACTTCGGACTCCCATGTTCGTGTGGCTCTCCGCGTGCGATGCGTCGCCGTACGGTTGCCTTGCGGTGCGGTACTCGGCTAAGCCTGGCGTGCGTGTGTCCTATCTAAAATTCTCTCAACACCCAACTCTCCCTACTAATGTATATATGTATATGCTGAAGGAACACTTAAGAAAAAGTGGGAATTTTCCCAATACTCTTACATATATATAGGGGCCGAAGAGGTGATGAGGTGTTAAGGCTTAAGGAGATTAAGACACATGCAATGATTTGAAAGCTTAAGGAAGATTAGTCATCACTAATCTATGCAAGAAAAGGACACCTCATCCTACTTAAGGGACAAGATAATATCCCTCATGAAATCATAATGGTACGACTTTGAATCCATTTAATTAAATCCGTACGACTTTTGCACTAAATCTCGTGATTAATTCATAATCAATCACTTAATTATGCTTAGTTAACTATTAAGCATATTACTTAATTACCAAAATTATTCCGAACGTAAACGGGACGTCGAAAATAATTTCCGGTAATCTCGACTGAAATGACTGAAACAATTAATTCCAAAAATTAATACTCGACAATATTAATATATCGAAACTAAATCATGATTTATACTAATAAACTGACAGGATATTACAGTACTAGATTTCATCATTGCCCTATCCATTTCCATAAGAGTCCTATTCCTCCGTTCTGCTACGCCATTCTGCTGAGGCGTGCCAGGCGCAGTCAGCTGGGATGTAATCCCATTATTCGTCAAGTAGTTCCTAAATTCATTCGAGAGATACTCGCCACCACGATCTGATCGTAACGACTTGATACTTTTTTCTAACTGCTTCTCCACAATTGCCTTATACTCTAAGAACTTCTCAAAGCATTCAGACTTGCGGTGCAGAAGGAAAATTTACCCATATCTCGAGTAATCATCGATAAATGTAACGAAGTACTCGAAACCACCTCTCGCTTGAACACTCATAGGACCACATAGATCGGAATGAACTAGCCCTAACACATCTTCGGCTCTATGCCCCTTCGAACTAAAAACCCTCTTAGTCATTTTGCCTTCCAGGCATGACTCGCAAGTTGTAAAGGCCTTGACTTCTAACGACCCCAAGGGCCCATCTGCTACCAACCTTTGAATCCTTCTAAGGTTAATATAACCAAATCTTAGATGCCAAAGATATGTTTCGTCATTTTGGAAGGTTATTTTCTCTTATTCTGATTAGATGATGAATTAAGTAATTGTTTCTCTTGCAGTGGAGATGACTTAGATTCTAGAATATATAGATTGTCAACTAATGAACCAAAACATATGAACTTTTTGCCAAAACGAATAACAACTTTATTATCGAAAGTAGCAGAAAAACTGTTCATAAACAACTTAGAAACTGAAATCAAATTCCTTCTAAAACTAGGAACATAAAGACAATCTTTCAAAACTAGAAACCTATCTAAGCCAAAATCTAAATAGACGTCTCCCACTGCAACTGCTGACGCTCTACTAGCATCGCCCAAGTAGATGGTAACTTCTCCTTCCCTAAGTCGCTTGGTTTCTTGGAACCCCTGCAATGAATTGTAGACATGATTAGTGGCTCCTGTATCTACACACCAGGTACTTGTAGATAACACCGCTAAACATGTTTCAACAACTAAAGCAAAAGGTGTACCTTTATCGAACTTCTTGAGGAGAGGGCAGTCTGCCTTCCAGTGTCCTTTCTGCTGACATCTGTGGCACTTGCCTTTCGGCTTCTTCGCTTTCAGTCGAGGTTGCGCGTCATTCATGACCGCCTTGCCCTTTTCTGCGGACTTCTTCCTCTTCTTGCCTTTAGGAGCCTTAGAAGTGGAAGCTTATCCCTGCTAGGCCACCATAGCTTCGTTCTTCTCACGAAGCAGGCCCTCTGCTAACTGAAGTTCAGAGACAAGTTTCGGAAGAGTCATTAACATCTTATTCATGTTGTAATTCAACTGGAATTGCTCGAAGCTCTTCGGCAAAGACTGGAGCACTATATCTACCTGGGTTTCTCCCTCAATAAAAGCCCCAAGAAGCTCCAGCTCATTCAGCTGGGCCATCATAGCAAGAACATATTCCCTTACGAGAGTGCCCTCACGCATGGTCATGTTCATCAGAACCCTCATGGCCTCTTGTCGGACAACCCGCGACTGATGACCAAATAACTCCTTGAGATTGAGAAGCATCTCTGCTGCAGTGTTCATAGACTAATGTTGATGTTTAAGTATATTTGACAAAGATGCCAAGATGTAACACTTTGCCATCTCGTCAGTCTTTTTCCACCGAGCATACTCCTCTTTCTCTTGGTCTGGTGCATTGTCAGCAGGCACAGTAGGACAAGCCTCAATAGTAGCAAATTTGTACCCCTAAGCACTTAACACAATATCCAAGTTCCTTTTCTAGTCAATATAATTGGGACCAATAAGTTTGTTTTCTTTGAGAATTACGGACAACGGATTGAAAGACATTTTGAATTCCTGGGATCATGCAAACATAGTCCTTACTCAATCAAGTAATTTTGAATTTAAACATCAAATATTGATCCCATGTAACAATATTCAAATAAATTCACCAACACCTCAAAACACCGAATCGCCACGGAGTGTGGACATCTACGGTACAAACATTTGCAAGAGGAGGGATAAATCCAATTAGCTTAACATACTGTCGAGCAATACTTAACTAATAGTCGGTCTCATCTTTTGGCCAGCGCAATTACCTTACAAAAAATAAAAACGACCTTATCCTTTGGGACTATCGTAATTATTTGCACTTTAAGTGTAACCCATTAATTGGTACTAAATTTACTACCAAAATTGTACGTCCACCTTTGGGCGATCCATACGCTTTTGAAATAGCTCATTATAACCATCCCAAAGGAGATTCTTCCTTGTGAACTGTGAAATAAAACGTCCTTTGGGCTCGAATTAAATCACTTCACTGACAAACCTATAATGGAGGCCTTGGATGTAATTTATTTCAACCCATTACACACTTAATATAATTTTTAATTTATGGGATTTTCGAAAACATGTTTGATTTGCACATAAGAAATTCACATAAAACATGCATGATTAATAAGCAATAATAAACTAGGAATTATAATCCAACTATCATGGCCATTAATCAATCTCCAATGTTACGGGGAAAACACAGTCCTGTCCTTGTTGAGTGTGTCCTCCGATTCAGGTATTGAAACTCCCCTTTCGCAGTGACTCCCACTGAATTGGTCGTCTCCAGGAAAGTCGCCATTGGATCATCACCATGGCATCCGTGTACGCGTCTATCGCCTTGCCCCGTCAAGGTTGTCCACGTCCGCCGGATCAATAATGAATAACATAAACAACAATTACATAATTCATCATATGACCCACGCAGGAGCCGTACATGAGTTTCTATGAAAGTAATAAACTATGCGGTGTCCCACAGCGCGAATAATTTATTACAAGCATTCACCAACCAAAAAATTCCTTGACATGTCCAAGGCTTTAAAAACAGCATACATTCAACATGAATTAAAATCCATACATATGGGCCACAATAGTAGGATTCGAAATACCTGCAAAAACTTATCGCAAATTCTAATCTACTATGTCGCTGTGTCCGTATGCACATAATTCATGTAGACAGGGAAAGTCCAAAATTCAAACTGTGCACGAGGTTGAATTAAACCTGGGCTCTGATACCAGTTGTTGGGTTCTGTGAGGAACGTCAAACAACATTCATAGTATTGAACTTATCGAAATAAATCCTAACGCAGGGGAATCTATAGTTAGGATATGGACGTTTAACTCTTAAAATTTTTGCCGACTCTGAGACGATGTAGAGTACCGTTGATGAACTTCGTGTAATAGCCCACTATGTTATTAATGTAAATTACGTGTTTAGTTCCGTAATATTCACGTTTATGCTCGAAATAATTTCTAAGTATTTAATTTCATATGTTATACGTTAATCCATGTTTAATCGTCATGATCATGCAATTAATTGCCGAGGGATCATGATTACCGCCGATCGTCCTTAGCACACTAAGCGATTGTGCTTAGTTAGCTCCAATCACGTTTAACTAAGGCCTAAGTCATGCTTGTCAATCCAATTACCGAAAGTTGTTGGAGCAAACTTCACGTGAACTTCATCATTGTTAACTAGCTTATGTGGCTTCTTCCTAACCTTCAAGTAATTACTAAGACAATCATATGAGTGCCACATATATCATGACTAAGCACAAGAGGCCACCTAAGGCCCTAAGCTCACGGCAAGTGTAGAGAGCCCATTGGCCATGATTTTTCCACCTTATTTGACCTTAATTCACCTTCCTTTATTTATAGAAAATTCACCGTGAGTTGAATCATGTTAGTAGAGTGTTCTTAAGTTAAAGTTAAGAGAATTTAGTATATAAATAAGCCTAAGCAAGTTTGGAAAAGGAGTACCCCACGCACGCGCGTAAGCAAGCTACCGAACGGACGAACGATCACGAGAAGTCTTGCACCATTGAACGAACAGTTGAAAGAGTACAATCTTCATGACCCTCTTGTGATGAATTTATAGTTATTTAGCAAATTCAAGTAGTAATCATGTAGATCGGTTTATAAATCATGTCAAGTCATACTCGGTTTAAGTCATTTTAAGTCTTTTCGAGCCATATCCATGTTAATCGTTAACTCTCGAGCGATTTATATGTCATTAGCCATTATTGTATATATTATGATCAGTCATGTATCAATTGTCGAGAGAAGTTTTCAATAGATTGGTCGAAGCCACGGGCTGCGCACGGCGCGCACGCCACGGCCGTTCACGTCTTATCGGTCATTAAGTTATATTTATGATCCTCCGAGCAATTTATGTGTATTTTTCTATGTCATGTTAAGTTATGTTAAGTTATGTTGATCCATGTTATAATTGTCGGAGAAAGTTGTCGGACGGCCGACAAGGGCCGGTCATAGTCACCATGCCCGCACACAACGGTCGCAGCGTACCGGCAGTCAGGCAGGTCGAGCGGGTGACGTGCGTGTATGCCCGGTCGGGCGTCGCTTACAGCCTCTGCCCGCAGCAGTCGATGGTTGGCCAGTGCACGCTGGCACATTCCAGCGCACGCCAGTGCGCCCAACCGCACGCCAGTCGGACTCGGGCAGTGCCCGACAGCACGCCCGAGCGTCATGTGTCGCCAGGGTCGCCCGTAGCGCCCGAACGGTACCAGTTAGCTTCAGTCCGCGCGTCCATGTACCCAGTCGCCCAAGTGTTGGTGCCCACAACACCCTGCAGCGCCTGTCGTCATGTCATGTGTCCAGTGGACCGTCGGTTGTGCCCAGCAGCGCCCGATGGCCATTCCATGTGCGCGCGTTGCGCCAGTCGCACGCCAGCGTGCGCGGACGCCCATGCCCGCGCCAGTCACAATCAGTAAGGCCCGACTGTGCCTAAGCCGAGCCCAGCCCATGCCAGCGACCGCGCCCGGGTACCAGCAGGCCCCACGCGGGACCGATCCCGTTGGCCAAGCCAACGGCCGACCCCCCGGCCACAGCGGGCCGGCGGTCCGGCCAGTCAGTGAACCGGTCGTTTCAGACCAGTTTACCTCATGTTTCAATAATTATTGATCCGGTCCATGTTCATGTCAAGATTTCAGTTAAATTCCAAGTCCAGTCCAGTTTAGTACAGTCATATCAATCCAGTTTCATTTTAAACCAGTTCCAGTTATACCGGTTAAGTCCAGATGTCATGTCAGTTCAAGTCAAGCATCTTAACATATTAACCAGTTATTTTAATCAGTCTGAGCATAGTACTTGGTATTTGTTTATATCATGTTACAGTTTGAGAAGTCTACAGTCATCAGCACTTCTCTTTTTATATCGACGGTTCAGGTCGGGACTCAGACTGGGTATTACATTGATTATAATTACTCTACCATGTTTGAGGTATGTATCATGCTATGTATCCGCTTGGAATGGTAGCCGGTCTAGGTGCGTAAACCCGTTCTAGGTTCTAGTGGCCTTATCTGCCCACTAGAGTGTGCAAATGGTGTCCAGCACGTTTGTGTTGGTAGATATTGTAGCTATACTACAACTATGCTATGCCATGCCATGATTTTTATATCGTACCGGTACCACGCTTCTACATGCTATTGATCATGATATTATAGTTGTTTTTACTGTTTACTTTAGTATGAGTTCCTACGCAGCACAGTGGATTTAGTGCTCACACCCCATGTTTATCTATGTTTTTCAGGTCACAGAGTCGGACCGGAGGTGTGAGCTGACGGGCGGTTCAAGATCATGTTTATACAGTTGACGTATATATTGTTTTGCTACGCTATGATTTCCGCTGACTTTTACTGTTTGTCAAACTTAGCCTTTTTGGTCCGATTTTCAAGTCAGATTGTTTATACGATGATAATCCGTTTTTCTTAAAAACTAAATTAAAGTTAACGAATTTCAAATCAAAGTAATGAATTATGGTAGCACTCCGTGTAACACCCCGACTTTTTACTGAAATCAGAGTACGCGTTTTTCACAAATTTTCTGAATAAATAAATAAAATAGTTACTATGCGAAAACTGATTCGGAGTGCTACCGTGAAAAACTTGACTTTTCTGAA